AAAAGAACAAAATGGGTTAATCAGATATTCCGGAAGAGAGAAAACCATGGCGAGTTTCATTATTTAATGGACGATCTAAAAAGAAATCCTGTGACATTTTTCGATTACTTTCGTGTGCGCTTAAACACATTCGCCTATATTCTAGAAAGTATCGAACCTGAGATTATATTGTTTTACTAATATTCTCGTTCTTGAATAACAATAATACATTTTTCGTAATCTTGTACTACGCGCTGTAAGCTCAAAAATACAGTTCTCCGCAATTATTTTCTGAATATACTGCGGTTGGTATCATCAGGAGACTAAGTCCATCCATCCCGAGTCGTATCGAACTGTCATAGTGGTTCAGTGTTGTTGAACATTTCGTCGCGGTAAGCCTGACACAGCGTTTTCCGTAAATTTAGAGAAACTTACGGTCCGCATAATCGACCTGCCGAGTGCACGATTCGTGGTTGTAAGATTTGAAATCCGATTTTCACCATCGGATAACATACGACCGAAAGGTACGGTTTCTAAGGTACGAAATATCGCAGCGAAAAGTCGTCAACATCTGTTTGTACGAAAATGCTATTCATTGGTTTGCAAGACGCGACAAGTCGCAACGACCTTACTTTGAGTCGTTGCGACCGACGACACCACTGTTCCGAGAGCAGTATCTTGCGACATGTCACTAGGACACATCACAACGACTATTGAAACGTTTGTAGATATAATGGCGTCAACACTGATATTCTCGGCGTCGGAAGACGAAACTCTAATTCGTCAAGTCCAGAATAATACACTTCTTTACAATATCGGAGATCCAAATTATAAAAATATTATGCAAAAACATGATATTTGATCATCATCAATTATTCTCTATCCCGATATATAAATAATTAATTTATAGGTTTTTCGACGTTTAGCGACGAGGTAACTTGTTCTTCTTCTAATAATAATAACGTAAAATGAATATTATTATTATTTAAAATACATCTATTCGTTGTGATATGATATGATATTATATGAAAAATACGTGCGCACTTGAACAAGTTTAAAAACGGACGCTGACCGAATACCAGTTGTGCCGCTGCGACTTGTCGCGTCTTGGAAACCACTGTACCCGAAAAGCGTCGCGACGACTTGTCGCCGCGACGTGTCGTGCCTTAGAAACCGTACCTGAATAGGCCTCGTCCGTCGCGCAGCGAACAAAACATGAATCGATTCGGCGCCGTTTTCAACAGCTTGGCTCGTCGTGCGCAACAACTTGGCGTATTTTCACGTACGGTTCAAAAGCGTAACGAGCAGTGGCGAAGCGTCATAGGAGACAATAAGACATTGTCTACCCACTTTTAATACGGATACATAATTCGGTTGTATTATATTTTATTTATTTTTATACAATTACATACTCCAATATTTATCATAGTTTTACTTTTGTGCCGTACCGTATTAGTATTCTTAAAATAGATTTGTTGCGGACCGTGCGCGCGAGCCGTCGTCCGTTGTGGCGTAGTGGTTAATTCTATAAACATCCAAGTACAGATACAAGAATTAATGAGACGACGCGTTGCAGCGTCTCGTTTTTCAAGGCACGGTGTGCAGGGAGAATAGGTTATTGAGTGGGGATCATCGTTGCGCTGTGAGACATGTCTCGCGTTCGTATTTATTATTTCATTTTAATGTACGTTATTGTAATCGTCATTACGCTTTTCGCGTTGATGCGTTATCGTTCAACGCAATTTCGTTATCGTAGTTATTGGTTGGTTTTTATTTTACGATTTATTCATGTCTGGCGTGATATTCGTATCTAAACATTAAAATATTGTACTATATTGTCATTCGCCACTATGCCTGATGATTTAATTAATGAAATGTTCAATGATGGAATAGTAAACTACTCGTACGAAAAAATATATGAAATAAAAAATAAAAGGCCTTGCCCCTTTTATCAAAAATACATATAAAGTTATAAATTCGGGGGGGGGGGGGCTGTAACGCATCATTTAAATGTCTTCCCAACTTAAATACTTGTGCTTCGCCACTGGTAACGAGTTCTCAACTGGTGCGAGAATCGAAACGCGTTCGTCCCTCCGAATCGTCACCGTTTCAGTCTCGAAAAGTTCGAGAAGATTTACTGTTTTCGACTGAAATTTTGTTCGGCAACGAGACACAAATTTTGCCCTATGGCCTACGACGTAGGCCCTACGTCAACAAGCAAGATTGCCGTGTTTGATAAAGAGCAACTCGAAGATCTTTTTTTTTTTTGAGACTACGTAAAATCCAAGGTGTACATAGTCAAACCGGCAACGATAGACGAATTAAAAGCCGACATCACATGCAGTGGTGCATTTTCGAATTTTTTGTTGGGAGGACGGGTTTAAATATCATTATCGTCATGGGATGGCAATTACGTGACCGAAAATAACCAAAAATTAAGTTTTACAACAATAGTTAAATTTAAGAAATTTATTTTTATTCAAACATTATAATCACATGATATAAGTTAGTGTTTTCTTTCTCTATACCTTTATAGTAAATCATTTGTGACTTTTGAACTTTCTTCTTCCGAAGAGGAGGAGGAGTCGAGACCCGGGAACTCCCTCCCTGAAAATATGTCACTGATCACATACGTCATTGGTCAAATACCAGACGAAATGCTTTGTTGTGTCAATGTAAATTAGAATTTTAGAATGAACTATGTTAGCCGCGATTATGGCCAACATTTAAAATATATAATATTTAAAAAATCACTGTAAATAATAGTTTTTTTTTTTTTTTATAAAGATATTCTAATAAAATTGAATTTTATAAATTATTTTTATTTTTAAAAAAATTACCTCTAAATGAATCATTCTTTATGTACACTCTCCCCTCGCACGTGGTCGTTTATATTAATTTATTACAGTTTCTCACGTCTTCTGACCATATTGCATGTTTAATATACGCGTCGGTAAAATATTATTTTTATTCCGCTGTACACGATAAATAATCGTACACCTACGTGTTAAAAATAAAATAAAAAAATAATGTTGTCGTAATATAAGTATGCACTGTTGTTTCCGATAATCTCTTGATTAATACTGCCATTGAGAAGAACACTGTTTATGAGCGCAGGAGTAAATATTATTTTATTTCTTTCGTCGAAACATCGTACCACTGTACAGCACCAAACAGAAATTTTCCTGAAATTTTTGTATAAGACTACTTATTTTCGTTTATTCGCTTTTCTCATGAAAAACTGACTGTCCTGAATTCTTGTATCATTCCTCCTGTCATAAGCTTACACGTAGCCCTCGGTATAAAAATAAATTTTATCTTCACACAGAAGTAACTCGTTATGTAAGCAATACCTCCATCTACAATATGTTAGAATCATGAAATCTATAAATGAATAAAAAATCGATCGATTCGTATCACCAAACTTCAACTCACTTAAAATGTTTTATAATTATGTACTCGTTAGTTTATAGAACTTCTTAATTAGTTATAATTTAGATAGAAGTGTGTATATGATTTATTTAGTTTTAACACATTGACAGGCAGTCATGTATATAAATACTGATGTAGCAGAATTAATCTCTGTAACGTCTGGGCACATACTCGTATAATACTGCTACAGTAGTACTCGAAAAACTGACTGAAAATCGACACGAATGCTCTGTGGTGGTAGTACGTTCGATGGTGGTGTGTAAAAAATCAAGCGTCTAGTGTGTAGCACATTATATAGTGATATTGGACTCTGACAAAATAAATCAGTTGTTATTTTTCTAAAAAAATTATACTATACAACGGTCACCGAAGGGAACAGAAAATTATAACCGCTATTTAGAGGTGTCCGTCCTATAGAGGTGACCGGTGACAGAAGTTTAATACGCATATCAGTATGGGTACTAAAAAAATGTATTTATAACTTACGATATAATTTAGATAATGTTAATAATTAAAAAAGAACATATTTTATAAATATTAAAATTAAAAAATTGAAATATATTAGTTTGTTTTAAATTCATTTTATTATTTATATAATTTTTTCAAACCAAATCTCTACAGTTTTTAACATACTGTGAACGTCTACGTCACCTTTTTGAAGTGTGAAGCTATTGGTTGTTTTATTTGACTGACAACCTCACATTAGTTTGATACGTTGCACTTAATCTCTTCAGTTCCTTTATTTGTTTCCAATTCGTCATTATCCGTAGTATTATGAATGACTTGATATCAGTGCTATGTTTTCAGATTTTTATCGACCAAAAAAAACTGATGATAAATTACACGGACACGGACAATTAAATTATCAACATCATAAATGCTCGTTAAGATAAACTGTCAAAAATGATTTGAAAACAATTTAACATTTTTCCATAATTTATTTGACCTGTTTTTAAACGTTGAACGTTATTTAGAGGTGTCAATGTATTTTTCCCGTAACACTCGACGGGACCAAAAAAATAGTCCGTCACATATAGGTGTGACCGTTACTGGAGTCTTATTGCACATAAATTTATTTTTCAAAAAGTTAGGCAATTCGGTAATGTTTACGTTGTGATACCGGATTTCGAACATCTGCACCGGCCCGAACGGTTGCGGTGGGTGTGACAAATTTCAATAGCGGCCCTATAACCAGTGCTCGACTTGGCAAAATTAAAGATTGACTCTGTTTACTCTAAAGAAAATAGTGGCCGCAAGACTTGTTAAGCGTTATAATTACAATGTAATAGTAGTAGGAGGACGCTAAAATCTCTGAAAATTAGTTGGGGTATTCCGTCTCATCGCGTCCCCCATCAAGTCAAACACTGTCCATAACCACTGGTCTAACTAACCGCACACGTATGACGGTGCTACCACATACCATGTACCGGTTATCATTTCCATCGTTCACAAAATGTGTGTTAAGTACACGACAAAGTCACAACGATCGCGTATCATACTTATATAGTTTAAACGTGCAGTTAATGCTGTACGGGTCGGGTGACGGGTAGTTAGCAAGGTGTGACTGATGAATGAACGGATTTTTCCAGGGTACTGCCGGACCGGCACGAACCGGTGACGGACGGCCGGCACCATTGGTCGTCGTAACGAGCCGCTGTCCGGATGCGGCCGGACCGCCGCCCGAATGCGGGTGAACCGATGAACAGCCAGCGGGGCGGTAGGAGGCGGTGCAGCACGCGGCTGGCGGCCGTCCACCATCACCGGCTGCGGTCGAGCATCACTTAAGGAGCGCACCAACGGTCAGCGGCGGCCGGCCGCTCACGTGCACATGATTTCCGCGCTGGACGCGGTCGCGTACGGCAACGACAGCTCGCCGCTACGGGCCGCCAACGGCACGGCCGGCGATGGCGGCGGCGGCGGCGGTGTAGCAACGCCGTCCAACGACACGACAGGTGTCATCCAATTCCTGGACGACGACCTGTCGTTCCCCGGCTACATACGCACCACGTGCATGGTGGTGTGCGTCATCATACTGGGCGTGGGCGTGGTCGGCAACATGATGGTGCCGATCGTCATACTCAAGTCGAAGGACATGCGCAACTCAACCAACATATTCCTGATGAACCTGAGCATCGCCGACCTGATGGTGCTGCTCATCTGCACGCCCACCGTGTTCGTCGAAGTCAACTCCAGACCGGAGACGTGGGTGCTCGGCGAGGAGCTATGTGAGTGATATTCGTAATTGGTATTAGCATGAAAAAAATTTAAAAAAAAAAATACAATCGCCGTTAGCGCCAGGGACGAGGGGTTATGCGTTTAAAAACAATGTGTTCAATAAAAAATACGTTCGAATAATAGTCAACATATATTAAATTATTTATTTCTTTATTATCCTTATAATAAAAAATTATTAAATGCCTCTTAGAAACTCTACGTTATTTTGATTACTATTTTTTCGAACACTTTTCATTCGAACACATTTTATTCGAACATATCATTTTCGAACGCATAACCCGACTACTTAACCGGGGGCGTGCCCGGAAAGCGTTCACCGTTCAATGTCGCGCACTTCAAACGGCAGTCATTCGTTTCGCAACACGATCGTTTCGGATGTAATAGTTCGTTCCGTTGGACCTGATACAGATCGACGGTGTAAACGCGATTCCGGAAAATGTTTCAACTTGAATCGCACAAAAATGTTAATACTTTTCCGAATTCGATACACTTCCAGGGGTTTGAACAACCTTCCCCCATAGGCACGACCCTGAGCGTTGGTCTCCTTCGCTTATATACAATACAATACGCGTTTCGGCTTGTGTGCTGAACTGCCCGCACGTTCCGTGTTGTACGAGTAATTTCAAAACTTTAGCGAACGCTCTGTTACGTCCTTCGGGCCCCGTTCACCTATCGCATGTTCCTCCATACCCTATTGGTTCGATGCCTTCTGAGTCAACTCCGTCCATGATTTGGGTTTCGCATCACCCCATAGTGTTCTCGTCTAGAACTTCTCGGTCGAATATACCGAAATCGTTCTCTGTAGAAGCCCTCAGATTCATCTATCGAATTAATTGCATCGATTGCGGATTACTAAGCCCGATAAGAGGGAGAACATCTGGGGCTATAGCTCAAAGGCTTGGGTTTCAAAATAGGGCCGGGGCTTGACCAAAATCCCTACGTCCCAATCATGGTGTCGAGCTATTTATGGATCACCAACATGAACTGTGCATAACCTACCCAAATAATTATAGAGTATGTTGTATATAACGAGTCTACAATAAAGTGGACACTATGGCATCGATCTAAAACGTAGACAAATAACATTTTCAAGAAAGACTGATATAAGTGAAAGGCTATAAGTAATTATTCTTATTTAGTCTGTGGCATAACCATAACTGTGATTACATTATTCCTTTGGTATACACATTTGAAAAGAAGGCACTGGATGTCAGTGGCAAGTTTAATACCTAGTGTGAGAAACGTTTGGATCAATTTGTCCCTGGAGCTCTTGATTTCTTTCCCTGCGGATTACGGTCTTGGTTCTACGAAATAAATACACATTCTTCAGAACCGTAAATTTAGCAAATTTTGTATACAGAAATGTAAACTTTTAGCTCCAGTATCTCGAAATCATTCGATTCAAGTTTTGGTCAGGTTTGCCAGATACAGAAGTTTTTGGTCCGACAAGAAGGTGAGTAGTACATTGATAACGGATAAACGATAAAAAATGTTATTAGTGCACCGGAATCACCATTCACGTCGACAAGCTACGTTTACAGTCCTGACCCCTCATAACTCATGATCCCCGCTACTGCCGCTCATGCAAGTATAATATATACTATCAGGTGATTTTTATTTGTTGTTGTCCGCGGTAGTCGAGCTATGTACATTTCACCGAGTTGGTTTATAAACAATATTGCAGTATTATGGACAACGTACAATCGTTCCACCGTTTGACAGTGCTACTGGACACGTCGGCATACACAAGGCTAGTACACAGCGAGCAACAGTGGGATTCCGAGGATACGTGCAAAACGAGAATATATCGGTACGTTTCTCGTCTCTGTCGTCCGGACTGAAACGTCCCCGTCACAACTCGTTCCGGTTATGCAACGCATTTGATCGAAGAAATTAATATAGAGTTGTATTCTCTGTACCGTTTTAATGTATTTTTCGCCCCCGCCCCCACTCCATCGGCGTTTTCCGTCAGATTTTAAACTCGTAATCGCTAAAAATAAATTCTCCACGAACTCCCACGCACGTCGGACGGAAGTGGTAGAATCGCACCGATCGCTACAGGATATAATGCACGCGCTAACATTTTCACGTCTCACGTATCATTATCGTCTCGATTATCATCGCGTTGGCTCAGGACGTTCTCGTCCTCCGTAAGCCGAGCGCAAAATAAACCGTCCGGCTTCTAACCGTACAATATTGATATCGAGTTTTCCCATTTAGATTTCACGACCGGGAAAATGACACCCCGAACGTGTTGCGGGACAAGTGCGTTACACTGACCTATATAAAGCTCGCACGTACGCTATTTGATGTGTGCGTTACGTAGACAATGTAAACGATCCCAATATCGCGTGGGGTTTTGCGTATATTTATACCCGCTTCCTCCGCGAACTACGAATACTAAATCGACCACACGTGTTTTTATACATAACGTAATTCAGCGGTAAAATATTAGTCCAGGCCATTTTGATTCTATTAACCGGTTGATTCCATAACATATTTTTTTTTTTAACGATTTCGTATTTGCACGTATACTTAAACTAAAGTTAAACCAAAAATAAAACGATTTAAAACGGTTTGAAATAAATACATTAAAAATAAATTTAAAAAAATATCTGTCTTTGATCGCACCGGATTCTTCTGATTCAATTGGTTTAAACGACTTATATCAAAGCGTACGAGTAGACAATTTTTTCTCGATATTCTTTTATAAATTTAATATTTTAATTAATAATATAATATTTTTTAATTTTAATTTTACTTATGTTGTTTTTATACAAAAAGGGGGGTATGAGGGCCTCTATGGTTCACCTTTTATTACATTTTCATATACCCCTCTCCCCAATAAAAAAATATTGAGAACGCCTCTGGTGTAACGATATCAAAAACGGGTCGCTAGCAGTAGTAACAGCAGCGCATAAGTTATAATACGATATTTACTGCCGCGCACGACAAATGTGTAGTGGCAGAACAGTCTAACCCATCGTTTCTCAACCTTTTTAGTGTCGTGACCCCCAAAATAGGTATACAATATGGTCAATCACTTCGCGACCCCTTCCCTCCATCTATATTAGATAAAAATTTGATTTGAATTTACATTTTGTAAATTAGCGTTTTATTATTTTTGACCTACGCGACCCCAAGTCAAGGTGTTCGCAACCCCCTAGTTGAAAAACACTGGTCTAACCTACCTCAACCGTATCGGCCGCCGCAAAAGCGTACTCACGGACCCGTAAACAAGAACGAAAAAAATTGCACAGACCATAACAATTGGAATTATAATTCGATTCGATCGTAAATATAGACGAGCGCGCGCACAGCGAATTCGCTGGACTTACGGCATGTGCGAAAATAGCATCCTCCTCCTGCCACGAACCGCCCCCACCTGACATTCTTGGCTCACTTTTCAATCGACTTCACCCACTCCACTGCGCGCGCGTTCATATTTACGTGCTCGTTCGCGTTGACAATTGCTCTCGCACGCGTTATTAAGTGCCATCGATTATCACGTTTTATTTCTGACGCGTTTTATAATTAGACGTGAACGGAACATGACGAATCGCTCACACGCGCCGCCAGCATTAGCCCCCCCCCCGGCATTCCGGTCACCGTCGGCCCACAACCCTTTCCCCCGACATGGATTTTTTGCATCGGCATTTGGAACGCCGACTCTTCCACGGCTTGTCGGATGGGGATTCGGCGGATTTTGCACGCGAATGTACACTAAAAGAGCCCCGAAGCAATCTCCAAGAAATCTAGTCTACCCTCCCATCTCGAATACTTCAAAACTGGGCTGTTTTTTCAAATCAGATTTTTACGGTACCCCGCAGGGTGCTCACAACTTATTCAGAACAGCAGGTCATGGAGATAGTAATTGATAGTAATTAAATATAATATTTTCTTATCGAAGTGCTTCAGATTAGTTTTTTTTTCTCTGTTAAACTTATAATTACTATAATATCGACTCACACAATTGGGTTTAGATCAACAGATTATTTAAATAAAAATATAATTTTATGGTAAAAAAATGTATATTTGAGAGAATAAATTATAGTTACTGAAATAGTATTGTGCCAAGTAGTTTATAGATTCGAAATATATTAAAACATATTATATTACTTCAATTTTTGCATAGAAAAAACTGATTAAATAATAACGATTTTCTAATAAACAGATGGTCATCCATGGTTTAGCGAGATTTTTATTTTTTTTTTTATAAAAAAATATCTTGAGAAACATTGAACAGTAATTTTTCAAGTTTAGCGGACTCGTGGAAATATTTAAAAACTTCGTAATTCCTTTTGCCACGCTTAAATTGTACACGGTTATTATGCGTAAACAACAATTTAAGTAACAACGTTTCATAAAGCTCTGTGTTTTGAAAATTATTACTCGAGACCGAAAAAAAACAAACATTAAACTCATTCAACTCGTGTACACATTTGTTCATGTACACGTATAATAGAATATGCTCATTACAATTTATGTCAATATAACTATATATTTATATATATATATATATATATATTTTTTTTTTTAATAGGTACACGAATTGTACACAATGACGCAGAAATGTTATTTCATTATAAATAATGCGATTAAAAAATCGTAAAAAAATATGAACCGAACCAATTTCTCGCAGAGGCCGCGATAACATTCCATGTTGTTTAATTGATGTACGTTCTTAATCCAAGAAAAATCGCGTTTTGTGTCTCTTCACTTTTAGAATTGTGATGCTTTCGTAGCAGCAAACGTTTAATAACTCAAAACATAGTTAATATTTCGTATTACCTAATAGCGTACCAACAGTTTACTGGACTTACGAAAGTACTGTAAGAACTGTTTTATCGTAAGAACTTATTTTTCCGTCGAAAACCGTTTACAAAACTTGTGAAAGTGAAAGTACGCGTAGACCGTTTAAAGAAACGATGCACAGTTAAGTGAAGTGCTTGATCGGTGGTTGTTATAATTTTCATAACGCGTTCAATGA